CGCAGACCTTCTAGATACGATCACCTACTAGTCCTTCCATCCTTCAGATACCAAGCTATGTGATCGTTTCCCCAACCATCTTCTCGTAGGCGACTTCATTCCATTCTCGAGATCTGTGCTTACCAGCTGAAAATAACGATGTTGTTGACGAGCTATAAATTTTTCGGCAAACAAACTGTTGAACATTACATCATGTGTTCACGATGAACCGTTGATTTGTGCACAACGCGTTTGCCATATTTACTAGGGTATAGGATCCATAGGGATCCTCTTTGTTACCGTTTGATTCTCCACAGTTTGCAAGCCCCACCCTTGAAGTAACAGCAACATTAAGAAAACTGAATTTTACTCGATTTGCAATAAGTGGTTTCAGATGGCAGCAAATTCGTTGAAACAGCGGGAATACTTTTGGTATTGAACTCATTGAAGAGTTCGCAGAATGAGGGAGATATTCTAGTCCAACACGTCATTACTTGGTCTGCCCGGACTTGGGATCGACGCCCGTCAAAAAGGTAGAAAACCTCACTGAAGAGTGTCCCTTCAGCAGTTGATGGCAGACTTCTTGTAGAATTCATTGGCATCTTTGTGACACAGTCTGTATGACATTTGGAATGGCGCTTTATGTTGTGGAACCAAGACTTGCCCCAGTTTTTTCAATGATTCCAGGTGTTTAGTCAACAAAACGATGAAATTGAATGCCAGATGTAAGATCACGAGAGAAAATGGTGAAAACCAAACTGAATGTGCTACAGANNNAGAAAATGGTGAAAACCAAACTGAATGTGTTACAAACACAGATTCATAAATCACACAGTTACACAGCACACACTACTTTTGTTGCGCTTATCGGAAATCAATGTTCCTATTGCTCGGACGTGGATTCGAAAATGTCGCCTTGTACCGTTAAACTACAGCCGTCTTGACTTCCATTTGGTAGGTTGTAAAATCACTGGTGAGTGCAGGGTGTCCGACGAAGTCTCCCAGAGAAAGAACAAGTTCGGATGAGTAAAACCCATAGCTGAGAAATCGTCACTCGAGGAACCAGTCAATCGACACGTGACCACGTGATGTGGTCTCTCTGACTGGAGGATGGGCGATGCTGACTAAGTGAAAGTTAATCAGACTGCTGTCCAGCCCCTCGTGTGACCGAACGGTTGTGTTCAAACACTTACCGGAAGGTCAGGGGGTTCAGAAATCTCTGAGTTTTTGGAAAATGACTACTTTTATGGTGTTTTTTATTCTGATGGGAGGATGAAACACCAATATTTCGGTCTACAGTCACACTATAGTTACACGACCAGCTGAATGGTGTTATATAAAGGAAGATCATATTTCAGAGGGGTTTGGTAAACAGTCGGTGGATTTATTGCTGGGCAACGTTTCGCTTTTGACACAAAAGCTTCGTCAGGCCAAGTGAGTAAGCTAGTAGGTTGAGTCAGGAAACAAATCCGTGAGATTTCTTATGACTAGCCGACTTGATCAGTGCTGAGAGTTCAGTATGATGCTCCTGTTTGCTGGTTAGTGGGGATGACTAACATTTACGATAGGTTGGTTAGGAGGAAGGATTTGTCTACATGTTGAACCCAGCTTTTTCGTCCTTGATTTTTCAGTCTAGGACACCTTAATGGAAAATTCTTCTTGGAGTCGTTCACAGATTTCGTTCACCTGTGTTCGTCAAAGGGTGCTGCGACAATTTGTTTGGGGATGGGGGTGGGGTGGTCAATTGGATTTTATTCTACTTGGACCCAGACTATTTCGCTGATGACTGCACACTGCCTGGTGTCATATCGGCTGATCTAAGACAGCTCCTCCTGTTTGCAAGTCTTACCCCCTCTATTCTATTCACGCTAGGATGCATGGCGATTTCCACCGCCTAGGCCACCAGTCGCTGTGGATCTTAAACCCCGTCTCAGGATTTCCACATTTTCTAGATCTATCCTATGCCCAAAGTCTAGTGCACGCCCTGCCAGTGCCGAATCTTTTAGTAACGCCCGGTACTCATCTACGTTTCTCTATGGTCTATTAATGGAACGCTTATGCTCACCGATTCTGGTGTGCTATTCCCTGGCTGTCTGATCAGATATCTTTCCCTGATGAGGAAGATCTGCTGGGATGCATGAATGCTGCTGGAGTGATATTCAGACATGTGTTTGCGAGGTCCAAGAAATAAGCAACCTATAAGCGGAAATGAAAATAAGAAGAGAACAATCAGTGAAAAGGTTACCCAGTTGCACATAGCCCCACTAGGCGTGTCATTCCGCTCATGAGTTCGCTTTTCAGCACATTCAGTTGTAGACTATCATAAACGAGGAATCAGTTGAGTCTCTCGTGAAAACCAAATTGATTTGCAAATGAGTGTATTTCTCAAAAACAGTCCCATTCGGAATCTCGGGGACTGCTCCTACCTGATGAGCCCCAAGAAGGGCGAAACCGGTAGTGGGCTGTCGAAGAGTTTTCAGCAACCTTATGAGTAGTTTCCTTTATGAAAATATACCAAATCCCCGTACATTTTCTAAAAGCGTGTGTCACAATCTCGTGGGTCTTTGGACGTAGCTGGTCTCTTTTAGAAGCCACATTAGGACCTCTTTACTGGTAATGGGAGAAACAAGATACTAACTTGCTGGACGGAAGTCAGGCGAATCCCGTGCTGACTTCAGTCAAATGAACGGGAATGATAGCCAGGGTATCACTTACGTGGGAAGCCTCCTATAAGCGGGATGTAGGTGATTCTGGTTCCCCATCAGACACACTTTGTCCTTGATATTAGACGTATTTAGACATCGCAAATTCGCGACACAACACCGTCTTGTCTAATCTTCAATCACACTGTTTTAACTTCCTCTATAGCTGAATACTTTCCACTTACCTTGGATTTCACAACATTATGTTCGTCAACATCAGTTTACACGTCATATCCAATTCATCAGGGATGCCCACACAAGAAAATTAAGAAAGAAGCTTCGAATTCCTACCGGGCAGCTGTTTGGTTATGACGATAAGAGATGAATCGAGATCGAATCATTGCCGTTCCTCACCATCGATCAAAAGTATCCAGAAACATCACGCAGGACACTAGTTTTTGTACACTTCTGCTAACGGAAAGGCACTGCATTATGGCATCCTCCGTAGCGTCTACTCTGCGGCCAGCCATGCAAGTCATATCCGTAGATATCGTTCCCTCATCGTGATGGTCACTAATTTGGTGAAGTTGGTGTAAACTGGTCGAGATCTTGTGGTCCAGAGAAATTTCACCAGCCATAGTAAACTCCATCCGACCGCACTGGTGAATCCATTGGTAACAGGCCACAAAACTATGTCACCATCGGAGTGTGTGATCAGCGCGGCAGCATTGACTTATCTTGACAAAATCGTTTTCATCACAGTGCGATCGATAGCTCACATGCCTGAATAGGTCACAGAGTTGCCATATGGAACGGCGCACAGGTCTGACTAAAATTCGGCAAATTCTTCAAGAAAAAAGACAAGGTAAAGAGGAACAAGCAGGTCCGTTTGGTGTAAGAAAATAACTTGGAATTCCACAAATTATTGTGTGCGTACAGCAATGTCATGATAGCAAAGGAAACATTGAAGTAACAGTAACACAAACTTGTATAGACGTAACACACTACTCATAAGGTTGTTGAAAATTCCTCGACAGCCAACAACCGGTTTCACCCTTGGTGGGGCTCATCAGATAGGCGCAGTTCCCGATTTTCGATCAACCTTATGCTTTTCTTGAGCCCACATTGCACCAAATTAGCGAAATACCTCATCTGCAAAATAGTTTCTTCTTGCGGGAAATTCAGCTGGGTTCCAGTTGAGTCTCCCGCAAAACCAAATTGGTTTACAAATGAGTGTAGTTCACTAATAATAGAGACTGCTATTGATTACAATTCGGAAAAAAATCGCCACGGGCTACATGAGACCATAGTCGCGGTGACTGTATCCAAGCTGGGACACGGCTTACCATGACCTCAAAGGTGGTTTCAACCAGAGTGACTGAGGAGCATTTTTGACCTTTCTTTTATGACTTCTGCGATAACCACCGTCGGGCCTATCTTGTGAACCATGGGGCCGCGAGGGAATCGCCGAACTGACGTGTGGACTGTCTGACTTGGATGTCCTGACTGGCGAGTCGATCGATCGTCACAACCAGGACAATTACTGGGTCGTTGTTCGATGGGTCGGGCACACATCGCTCAAGTGTGAACATGTTCACCTGCTCGGACGTGAAAATTCACATGCGTCCAAATTGCGTTGGTGGAGTAGTGTGTAAGATACTCAAATCAGGTCATCTATAGTAGACGAGCAGTAGGTAGACCTTGACTAATACCGCGAATATTTGAAAATCGCCATGTGACAGTGAGAAGAAGAACGCCCTTCAGTGTGGAGTTATCAAGTAGCCTACTGTGGTTTAGTAGTATACATCATTACACTAGTAACATACTAGTCAGCAAGAAATCCTTAGTTGGAAAAGAGCCAGTACATCTGACTGATTTGAAGATTATATTGAAAAAGGGCAGAAATCAATAATGATAATCCCTTATTCATAGTCACACCACTCTCGCTCGAATGGTCGTCCTCCCGTTCTGGCCTAATGATTCTGGTGAGCTCACACCAAAGGGAAGCAATGGACTCGTTTTGCTCTTACGAGAGCCCATCAGCAGTGCATATCCAATGACCGTGCCGGGGCTTGAAATCCGAGCACGTGACACGCGAGGCGAGCGTATAACCACTACTCCACCAACGCACATTGAACGAATCTGAATTTTCATGAACATGTTCACGCTTGAGCGATGTGATTGGTATTTCCGACCTATCGAACGATGACGATCGATCCGCCCGCCAGTCAGGACTTCCCAGTCGGGTGGCGTGACGCATGCTTGAAACCGACTGGGCAAATTTTTGGTTGCAGTTTTGGGGCTTTGCGGGATAGGCATTTTGCTCATAGTCACACCACTCTCGTTTGAACGGTCGTCCTCCTGTTCTGGCGTTTAGTTCTAAGATCCCTTTGGCGTGTAGCAACCACTCGAAGAAGGGGGTGGAGTACTCCCTGGTTGTCCAAGCCTAGACAGTGTCGTATTTTTAAAGGTCGAACAGACGAATGGGTGAAGAGTAGAAGTTGAGCCAGCATTTACCCACTCCTTCTCGTGTTCAGAGACTCCAGAAATCTCATTGTAGTCAAGCGCTAGAAGGAACTCCTTTAGAAGGAATAATGTCAAATTCGAGTCCATAATTATGACGTTCTTTTAGACGCATTCATTTCTGGGTTGATGTATTGGTGCATTGTTGACTTGGCTGTCCAAAACGATGTAATTCATTAGCACAATCTAAAAAAACACATTGGGTCCGGTCCAAATCGGCTGGTCACTGAAGCTATCGTAGGCTTTTACAGTTCCCGTATAGCCATGACGTTTTGCCCTTTTGTCTTTTTCCGTGCATATTTGTGGTCTCGAAAACTGGGCTGAAAACAGAAAAGCGCTGATTCAGTTTTGTGAATTCTTCTCATCTTCAGATGTCACCTGATGTCTTGATCATCCTAGATTTTTTAATACAGTGTCTGTATACTGGTGCTTTACTACTCAGCCATAAGTTTGACCTTCCTGAACCTTAGCTGAATCTACGGATCTGGCAAACCGTTTTCCTGAGTTAATCTCACGAATTCAAGCTGTTATTTACTTTCCTGAAGGTCTAAGGAGTGTGACTTCCCCTCATTCGGAGCAGATAACATAACGTCTTAGTAGTCACTGTTAAAAATCTTGACATTTTATGATGAAAGAAACAAGACAACTCTCACAAATAACTGTAGACGATCCCCCTGCTCAACCCACTTTCGAATACATCAGGCTAAACTCATTTGATGCTCTCAGGCTCTGGACATCACACACCTTGAGGTTTGTTAACATATCTGAGTTCAAAACTAGTTTCTGACCCCCTCTAGGGATGTTGGTAGCTCCAACCTCGATCCATAATACTCAGGCTGAGGCCATGTGAGTAGTCTACGGAGACTTTCGAAGGGCCACTCGCTGAGTGCCCTGGTGGCGTCAGTCGACCGACCCTCCTCTCAGGACTTCCCAAGCAGGTAACCCAACAGGTATCGTGCATGACGCGTGACTTCCATACGATGAATCTAAACAGCTGATCGGAAAAGTTTAAAAATTATCGAATCGATAACGATCCACTACATTTTCTACAAGTTTTGACATTTTCCTCTTAAATTTCTTGGGTGAATTATTCCCAGTCTGGTCATTTTTGGTTCCCCCAACATAATACTCTTTGTATACATACACTATACATTCAGTTACGTATGCTGAACTCCATACAGATAGCAGCGTATAAGACTTACACTAGGCTGTCCAATCAGAGTTGACTTATGAACACTGGTCTATCACCCACACCAAATACTTACTTAGGTAATGCACGTAGGTAACCACTGATCACACCGCATTTTTGTGACCACATACGCAGCGGAATGTTGATCCAGTAACAATGGTTAGCCACTTGTGGCTACAATTCATCCTGCTACTCTATGCTGGATCAGTAGAGGCTTCATCATCAGGCACATCATCGATTGTGGCAGCAAAATGGGAGTTTCACGAATTCCGTGTTCACATCACTGTGGTACTCTTTCTCCTGGTTATGATTTTGATCAAAATAGGTTTTCATCGTATTCCCTATGTGGCTCACTATGTCCCGGAATCGTTGGTACTCATCCTGCTGGGAATCGTCTTTGGTGCGATCGTCCGGTATGGGATCAGATCGGGCACTTTTGAAGGCGCCGAATGGCGATTGACTCCCGAATTATTTTTCATCTATCTTCTTCCACCCATCGTACTCGAAGCTTCCTACTCTCTGTACAATCGAACATTTGGAGAATATCTCGGTGTCGTACTCATATTCGCCGTGTTAGGCACAATTATGAATTTTCTACTAATCGGTTTTGCAATGTATGGGCTACTGATGAGCGGTGCACTGGGCAGTGACAAAGAACGATTCGATTTGAAGGGAATGCTTCTGTTCAGTTCACTTGTCGTAGCAGTGGATCCGGTTGCTGTGTTGGCTATCTTTCAAGATATTGGAGTGGAACTCAGTCTTTATTACATTGTATTCGGTGAGTCTTTGTTCAACGATGCAATCACTGTGGTTTTATATGAAATCATGTCCGCCTTCGCAGGGACGGACGATGTGACGGGGCAACAAATTGCTGTTGGATCGGCTTGTTTCTTCACGGTCAGCTTGGTGGACTGCCATCACGCGAATAAAAAGCCATCTGAACGCATTTACTCTCATTCTGCTGGCTTACTTCTCCTACATCATGGGTGACTGTGTCGGCTGGTCTGGGATTATTTCAATAATCGGATGTGGTCTAGTTCAGGCCGCCTACGCATTCCACAACTTGGACAGTAAATCTGTCACTTTGGTGCACAAACTGACAAAGCTGGTCGCGGAAGTTAGTGAATCGGTGATTTTCCTGTTTCTCGGCGTCGAGGTGTTGAGTGATAACCTCGAATGGCATGCCGGCTTTATGCTGTGGAGTCTTGTGCTTTGTCTGGTTGCACGTGCTATTGTTGTCTTCTCGATTACCGCAATAGTAAACGCGGTGAATGTCGACAACACAAACATTTCCATCACAAAACAGTTAGTTTTAGTCTATGGGGGATTACGTGGAGCAGTTGCTTTTTCTCTGGCTGTTCTGGTCACTCCGGAACACCTGGGTGATCATGGAGCGTACAGTCGACGTGTGATGATCACTGCAACACTGTTCATCATCCTGTTCACCGTTGGGTTCATGGGTATGACCTTGAAGCCTCTGGTAAAGCTGTTAAAAATTCGAATGCAAGCCAAGCGGCAACTAAGCTTGTTCAGTGTGCTAAATGGCAGTGTAATTGATGAAACCCTGGCTGGAATTGAAATCATAACCGATTCAAAAGGTCGCAATGTGGTTCGTGACCTTTTCAAGCGGCTTGACGAAAAGTACATTCGCCGACTTCTTCAGCGTGAACCAGAGACTTATGATCACAAAATTATGCGTGTCTACGAGAGAATAGCGTTACGATTGCATTTCGCTTCAATGCAACCGGAAAAAATGGAAGTTTTTCTTGAAGAGATTCCACCAACGTTACGAAACAAATATATGCATGCCTTCCAATCCTCCGTGTCCTTATCTGGACTTGTTCCACAGTTTTCATGGTCTGAACACCAAAGTTCACGTTCACGTGATACGTCCTCCATGGCGAACGGTAGGTGCAATACGACTAACCAATTACATGGCGAGGAGATCCGTCGGGTATCCCGCAGTGTGCAATCTTTGAATGATTTGACGAACGAGTTTGTGGACAACATGCGCTCAACAAGAAAGGTGACTATCGTTTCACACGAGAAGCGTCAAGTCACATTTGATGAAAGTTTAAAAGATATAGTAGAATCACGTAAGCGCTCGTTTGTGAAGCGCTTCACTGTAAACCTCCAAGCTGTGGAATCTCCTGGCCAACAGAACAAGAGCTGTGTGGAAAAAGTAGACGAAGTGGGTCCAGTGGATCTTGAACAAACATCCGTGGTGTCCACCTCAGACAATCAGGCAGTTTCTCTGTGGACCGACAATGCAAGTGAGGATTCAGACATTACTGACTAACCACACCATTCTGGTTCTGGTTAGGCTATACTTCATCAAATTACTCTTCATTTTTCTAACGATACAAAAAGTGGAATAAACACATTTTTGAGCATGACAACTATTTTACTCAACATGTTTAATATACATCGCTTTGGTGAGGATACATAGAATCCAAAGTAAATTGAAAGGGAGCTCTACCGGGAAAAAAATCGATGAGGACATCCACCATTCATAATAGATGGAATGGAGTCATTTTAAATCACCAGGTATCACAAAATGGCTAACTTGGTTTAAGAGAGACGGAGATTTGAAAGCTATCTAATCCGGACTGAATTAGACATCGTGCATACGGAAAGGCAAGGTCCGTGACTGGGTGCGCGACCTTCTGATTACCCATCTCTGACGAATGGTTTCTTCTAAACTGGTCAAGAAGTATTGCCTACATGATTGTCATGCTCGAAGAACACATCAACCAGTAAACACGCTCGAGCTACAAGCACTTCGACGTATTTGCAACCCTACTTGAGGACAAAAAGCACACGGTAAACTACATTTGTTTGTAACAGTAAACTCAGCTCAATCCCCTGTTTGTGATATTCTTTCTCAGGAATTTTCTCGCGAAAACACTGTCTTGTGGCTTCGACCGACCGCTGAGTTGCTGAACATGAATGTTGACTACTATAGGCCCGGGGTGGAACTCCCGAAGTGACCACAGGTTGGAACTGCTGAGGAACTCTAGTAAAGCGAAACTAAAGTTTGGTGCTTGTTGACCAGGTTAATTGCATTTGGGCGATTGGTGAACTGTTCAGATAAATATTTTGCAAATCCCGCCATCATCTACCAGCCTTCACTAAACTCACGATAGAAATCTGTGAATTACGGTTGGACGAAAGCACCCGGGGCCGCCCATCTAAACATGGGACATTCCCACTGTCACTCACCCTGACAAACAGAAGGATGGGGTAAATATTTCGGTTATACAACACAATGGCTTACATCTTCACAAAGAACTGGCTTTTGTTCTGTCTCATAAAGGTACCTGGCCGACTAAATTGGATCCTCACCAAAGGTAAGGTGTTGGGTGTCCGGTTACGGGGAAGTGCCACTTCGAACGTCCTTCAAACTCTAGTTGAAACTAGAGGGGAGACACTTTGGTGAAATTGTTAGGGCACATGAGTAAGCACTTCTCGATATTTCGGTGCAATGAGGGTATCCTTGATGAGTTCTTCCGTCAGTCAATGTTCTATGCCAAAACGTAATGCTTCAAGACATGTTGCTGTACACTTTTGCTGCGTCCTTCACAGTGTCTTTCAAGTTCTACCAAAAAACGATCCCAATCTGTTACGGTGTTCCTATAAGTCTGTCGCGGATTGCATATTAAACTGCTGGTTGTTCATACAGCGACGCAGTCCGCGTTTCTGGTAATAGTTAGTTTGGCATAGCAGACTAACATTCAGCCAATACCGCCATGAACTTAATTCGTAGGGTGTTGAACACCTGTGCTTATGGCTGTCAAGTAAATTGTGTCTGTAGTATTATACAAAAGGTCACCCGTCGTTCACTGATACTCATAAATTCGACGAAGACCCTGGATGGCCCACCTTCGCCTTCGTACTTCGTCATCCTGAATACCGTTGGAACTAAAACATGAGGTGATCCCTGTACTGTTTCTCCACTTTATGGGATATCATAAACGATAGATTCGGGTGAATTCCAGCCACGCATGCTGTCTGCGCAAACCTTATTTGTCATCGTTTTTGTTTCATTTCCCGCTGCGATTCAAGGTCCCAAGATAAGCGTTTACGGCAACGATTCATCAAGTTTCTGATTGATTTCGACCTGACAAACACAAAACCAATGTGGGATCAAGTTGCATGCTGACGGATTGCCGAACGCTATTAAAGCCGGTTTATTAAGTCAGTCAACAACTGCTCTTGAGTTGTATTCGACAGGCGCGAAGCACACCGATACATTCGACGATAACCCACTAACATAGCCGAATTGTTTCAGATCGTGAACTGAGCCAAATATATATGAGGGATATGACTGTCCACTGAACTTCAGGAAGGATTAACAGGTGAATCTTGATGGATAGATAAACTGTCTGTGTCTACTAGAACTCAAGTGGATACCTGGAGAACATGCACTGCTTGGGTGTAACAGGTCAGACGTATCAGGCCTCCCCAAACAATTGAAACTGGCATATTTGAGCATCATCTTGGAGCCAGAAGTTGACCAGTTTGATTTGGCATCCTTTGCGAACCTCATCTAGACACAAGCCAAACACACAAAGGCCAACAGCAGTTAGCTAGACAGTCCGCCTAGGAACTGCCAACAAGCTTTCCAAAGAGGTCGCTTACGTGTCATGTTCCGGTGAGTTTCAAATCACAAGCAGGGAGAATCACTCTACCCGGAGGAAAGTGAGGATTTCACAGCGCCCAACTCGACAGTGACTGCTTTTATTTCACTCTCCGCCAACCTCTCGATGAGATAGAGTTGGAGTGGCAGATGCTAGTCGCGCACATCTTGTGCGTGTCCGAATCACATTAACTTGGAAAGCTTTACCTACTGCTCTCTAGTGCACACGATCAATCGTTATTCGCTTAGATACACTGTTGCTAGGGCGACATGCCCCCACACGACAAGAGCCCCTATTCTTCAGTCAGTTGACAGCCGCTGGGCCATGAAGAAAACAGTGGTCGCATATCCGAGCTCTTCATATCGGAGAAGTCAAGTCTCGTGACCCATCTCCGAATGTGATCATGGGTTTTTGGAGAGTACACTCCGTAGCAATGCTAGTGACACAACTGAACGGAGGAGAGAGGACAACCCTGGTGAGCACCCTATTTGTAGCGAAACACGTGGATAGCTCAATAACCCGGTTAGAAATACGCGAACATGGGTACTAATAATGCTCCCCGTTAGCCAAATTAGTGTGGACTATCCAATTTGCCCACGGAATTGACGGCTCCCTTGAGGTCGAGAAAAATCGTTCAGTCGCCTGACATGAAGATGGTCTAAATCCTCCCTGACGTTTTCGAAATCATGTCTCACATGCCGGGATCATGCGCCGTAATATTAGTGAAGCCAGTGTCCGCCTCACTATAGGAGAAAGGCTAAACACCATGGCGGGAGCAGTTGCTACTGGCATTTTTCGAAAAAAAACATGGAGATTGACGGGCCCCAGTTTTCAAGAACACTGTTCGATCCCAAAATCGGTATGAACGTCACAGATAACACAGACTGCGAAGTTTCACTATAATCCCTTGAATAACGCTGACGATCCGGAGGTCCAATGACCGCTTAATGCCGAAAGTCATGGAACTGGAGCTACCGTTGTCCCTGGTGGGGATTAAATAGTTCCTAATAAAAGGCCGAATTGTAGTTTCACCCGGTTGGAAATAAAGAAAGGACAATTTTCATAAAGGAAACTACTCACAAGGTTGCTGAAAACTTTCGACAGTCCCACGACCGGTTTCGCCCTTCTCGGGCTCATCAGGTGGGCGCAGTCCCCGAGTTTCCGTCAACCTTATGTCTACTTGAACCCGAATTGGACTGTTTTCGAGAAATACGCTCATTTGCAAATCAGTTTGGTTTTCACGACAGACTCAACTGAAACTCTCGTTTATGATATTCTACAACTGAATGTGGTGCACACAAGCCGCCTCATGTTTCAGTTGGCACGATATTCGAGATATCGCAGGATATTTTCATTCAGTTGTGGAATATCATATACGAGATTCATCTGAGTCTCTCGTGAAAACCAGATTTATTTACCAATGAGTGTGTTTCTCGAAGAGCGGATAATATTTCAGCTCGAGCGGTCTTTTATGGAATTCGATAAACTAGCGGTACAAACGCAGCTGTTTAAGGAGATTTGCTCTAGGAGGGAATTGTTGACTTTGGAGCTGAAGATCAAACCACCGCAGAAACTAATGAATCAGCTGAAGTTTGTAGGAGATTGTGTCTTGATAGCCAAGCTGCCGTATTCTCGAAAACCATAGTATTCACCTTTTGGATACTCAGCAAATGTCTGTTGTTGAAGCTTCAAGGTGCTTGCTCAAGCAGCATGGTGACCGATTCGCTCAAGTCTTCACGTGCTGAAGGTTGCGATAAAAAACACAGGGGAACGAAGTCTGAAGAGCAGATGCGACGAGGTAGGTTGGAGCCGTGGCACGCTATTGGTCAGCTTCGTAGGTACAAGCCTAACTGACATAAGTATGATTGGAAGCCACAGAAGAATGATTCTGAAATAGAATAGGAATGAGTGTAAACGTAAGTAGTGAGTAAAGATGGGAGGGATCAATGGTGGTCTGTTTTTGCTTATCCGCTGTGCTGATCAGGAGACTCGGCTGATTCAATCACGTGACGGTCATTGTGCGTGAAAGTACTGGTATTTGTACAGTTCGTGGATGGGTTTAGACATTGTCAGGACGTCCAAGCCTGGACACACGAAAGACTAAGCACTCCAGCAAAACCTCTGGCTCAAGGGTTTAACCAAGACACAGCGACGATCAGCTCAGAGTACTCCAACGATCAAGAAACCGTAATCTGGAAGGCCAGTAGACCATCTCTCGGTTACTCTGGTACTATAGACTGAGTGTCAAGCGGACTAACTACAGCATAGTACAAAGGGGAACAAAGGCGCGAAAACTACCACAAGGATGTAGGATTCACTTTGTTGTTTGTGGCAGACTGACAGAAAACGACTGAACACCATCGTTGTCTGTAGCAAGTATAGCGTCTCTGGACTTTGCCTGTCCTTGTTATCCACGATCAGTCGACCGTTCGCCCAAGTCGAACAACCAACTGTGTTTCGGTCACTCTTGAAACCCCTGAAATTGTCTGTGCTACGCTATGCTACAGAGGATTTATTTTCTCCGAAGTATATAAGCCAACCTTTGCAGTTCACGACTCTGTGCCATGTTTCACGCTAACGTTGTCGTTGCATTTTCATAGCTAAATGTTTTTGGATTTCGTAATTTATTTTGAAACTGGAAATCCTCAGGGGCAGGTACAAGTCTGGGGTTCCCATTTTGGGAATCCTATGAAGGGTTTGACCAGAAATTTGTCCTTTATCGGAAACTACACTTTCAGGAACAGTCCTAACAATGAACTAAGCAGTACCCCTTTTTCTCAAGGGCTGTTTTATCCTTATAGTTGACAGTAGTTCCCAATGAATCGGTGCGAATTTGTGCTGAAACAACAAACGATTCTGAGAAACGCGGGAGCTCTTCTATAGAGGAAAATGTCATGTGCTCACCCACCGGACGAAGGACTGAGGATGCGCGCATTGACTCAGGTTTCTCAGAGGTATAAAGCTCCCTGTTCGTCCCAGTTGACTTTTCAACTGGATCTGCAATTGCCCTGTGCTCTCTGTAAGGCAAACTCGAAAAATTTATTCGGTGAATAGGGCTGGATAAGGAAAGTTCTGGTCATGAGCGAGGAACTCTGCCTAGAACATTTCGTCATGCGTTACGGCTTCATTCTGTACGGAGGCACTTCTGGCAAACTTTGAGAGGCTGTGTACCATTCATATAACAATGCAACCTCTAGTAAAACCAATATATCTTTCTTCTTTCCTGGGTGGAATTCACTACTCACAAGTTTGCTGATAACCTGTCGACAGTCCACAACCGTTTTGCCCTTGTGTAGTTCACTGCCCATAAGGTTGCTGAAGACTCTTCGACAGCCCAAGATCGCTCTTCTCGAGGCTCATCAGGTAGGCTCAGTCTCCCAGAGTTGTACTTGAATCCGAATGCATCGCAGCAGTAAAGTGAATTTAGTTACAAACAAAAACGCATATAGTCCAACTGAATTTCCTTCAAAACAAATGTGCTGCACAGGAGAGTCTGGTGCTTCAGCAGAGAAGATATTGAAGATAAAAGGGTGGTTTGTCTCTCCGGGAAAACATACTACGATATCGTGAATATTTTACCAAATGCAACATGAGGTGGTCTTTGTGCACCTCGGTTGTTGTAGCAGACGTGATTTCGTATCACTGAGGTAATACGCAGAGGTAGAGGACCCGCCAGGAGTCCCATTATGTGAATACAACAAGAATAGGCAGCGAAGGAAGGAAATATCCCTGTATATCGCATTGACGACCAAGTCACTGTCCATTAATCGCGTGAGTCCTGGTTTAGGTCTTTCCTGAAATCTGCCATAAGAAATCATTTCACCTCTACTGTGGTCGAGTTCATCCGGTTCACAAATGCAGCCATAGTTATCCCCTTTTGGACTTCCCTGAGATGAGAAATGAGTTCATAATCATTTCACACACAAAGGTCTTCAAGATTACAAGTTAAAATTAAGTGAACTTGATGTTCCTCTTAGGATGTCAAAAAACACCAGGACGGTTATCTCATTCGGCCAACTCGCTCAATGCCTTCTGCCACCAAGCCACGCAGGACAAGCAACACCACTACATATCCAATGTACACGTCAAATCCACACAGAATCCGTCTACATGTGCATACCAGGGCTGTTGGTTGTGTACGTTTTCTGGCTTAATACCGTAGATGTACGATACTACTAATAAAGCAAGTAAAAACTCTTCAACTGTCAACTCCCGTTTTCGGCCTCCTTGGGATCGATTAAGTCTTGAGGTTTCTGTCATAATTGAGCAACAATTCGAGCTTAAGCATTGTCGCAGACCTTCGCGTAAACAAAAGATTCAGCGTAATCTCCTATGTTTATGTTCACCTTTTGATGAGTATGTCGCAGGCGGACACATGTGGGCAACGTAAACACAGCAGTCGCAATAATTCTGCCCATTTATCCATGAAATGAGCAAGGTTACTCATTCGTCTGGATACCCGTAAGGCAAATATCGATTTTTAGGACGTGAACCATCAGACGCATGGGCACGACGGAGTCTGACGGTTTCTTAGGATTGGGACGAAGACTGTGGACATCGGACGAGAAGATGCCCATCAGGCTCCTCGAAATTCGGCACAATTATCTGACTACTCACGAGTAGTCCGATTCCAACCAGCTGGACAAACAAACCATGAAATCAGATCATTGACAGTGACTTAGACACCTTCAATAAAAGGAATAAACACACTGCTCATGAACAAACCACAACGACACTCAGTATCTGCACCCAGCTTAGTACCACGTCGAGCATAGTCCGTGTTGTCCCCTTGGTGTCCAGCAGTAGTATGACGTTTAGAGTTCCTACTGTCTACTCAACTGGTCAGTATTCCCTATTGGGCTAAAATCATTTGTTTTTCCTGAAGTGCCTTTTTTGGCGCTATACATGCATGACCTGCTTAGTAAGTGCAATCCTTTATTTTAAACCATCGAGAAGTCATGTGGCACTCAACTATCAGATAAAGCCAAACAATAATAACGTAGACCAAGGAATAATATTCATAGATGGATGAATATGGTCATTTTATTACAAATCAGGCAAATATCTTACGTGGACCTTCTAACCACCTGAAAAGCAAATGAGTCCCAGGCAGTCCCCACAGGAGAATTAAACGCTTTGACAGCAGACCGCGTCAGAATCTGTGTTCGTTCGTGGACAAAAACCCCAGTGGATATTTGATCAATTTTTGCTGAGTATAATCAAGTAAATAAACATGAATAACCATAAGCAAGCACAACTAACAAACAACGGATGCATGAAGGCTGACTAATAACACGCGGGTGGAACCGCTTATCAAGGTAATGGCAATAAAGACAACAACGATATCCTACTACTGACCGGTGGAGAGTAGTCAACTATTTATATTCGTGCTGCTGGGCATCACCATGCACGCGATATCGGACGACTGGCTTAGAAAGCAGTGTATCCTAGAAGGTGTTTACTTATGTTCGATTAGCTCGCAAACGGGTTTGCTGGAAACCAACCTAGGATTCCCGAAGTTTACTGCATTATTGGATTCTTGTTCTATCCGGTGAACTGCTGTGATTTGCCCATCCACCGGTTAGGAACTTGTCTAGAATAGAATTGCTGTAGAATAATTCCCGCCAGTTTCCGGTAGTTTACCCGTAATTTGGCCTCAAGTGTCCTCGGAAAGTCATATATTGCCTAAAATGGTTCCTTGGCCGATGAAAACCCTTTTAATTTAAGGAACCAGCAAAAGAGATGGGTATTGGGAATGTGTATTTTGCAACAATCATGAAACGTTTGAGATGAATATTTCTTAAAGTGTCGGAAGCATGTGGCCTATCGCTTACAGTGTTATCTGATACTATGTCGGTACGCTTTGAAAATTACTGTCTCCTTAAGTGGTAGCTCCCCTCTAACAAACCGTCTTCACGTGATTGAAAAACATAGCGCTGGTAGCTGACCGAAATTCTGAAAGCTGATACACGCGTGTCTGTCTATTCTACATAGACTGGACTAACTGGCCTCCAATTATTATGGGTAACCTTTCACAAAAACACATTCAAAGAGTGGAACCAATTAAGAGTTCGTGTACGCTAAAATAGACACATGACCGCACATCTTTGCTCAGCAGCGTGGTCCGATGAACTCATCATACATGAAAAAGCATCAATAAACTCGAAATATATGTTATGGAACTTGGCTAGTTGAGTTGTCACGCCAATAAAGTTCCCACTTGTTTCCTTGTAGCAAATTAGAGTGAGTGACGAGACCGTGTTTCTTTCGAAACTACCGAAGGCACCCTATCTCCTGATTTTTAGAGTAGAAATAGTTTGAGACGTTAGTTAGGACGGTCAGGTCCTAACGAACAATTCCACTGAGATTTCCTTTTCTCTCTGTTGTAGCCAGATGAGCTGCGCGCTCTTTCTTCCATTGTTTTATCTGCAATATAGCCGATCTTCATCTGGTTTTTTTTCTCTTATTCCTTGAGGTTTTCCAACTCTAGTAACTAGACTGTCAACGTGACAGAATAAATTGCATCAGGTTCCTAAATCACTCAGGTAGCATCACTCAACACAACATACCTTCAAAGTTGTCTACAACACAGTCATAGTTGTAGATTCTTCCGAGAAGAATGTTAGTATTCTGCAAAACTTGCGGTTGCATTTCATACTTGAACTGCTACCACTGTGAGTTGCGACACGATCCGCCCGGTGAATAACGAAACGTTCGAACCATCTGTAATCGCTGTACCAGTGACTCCGATTTTTCCACTTTTGATTGGAAAGCGAGTCACTGTTAGCTATACTGTCACCACCTGTGTTACAAATCGGGAATGCGACAACTAATGCGCTTCAGAGGGCGCCTACTTACCGCTTGACAGAGGTTTGACGCCAGACGCCGTTACCCAAGCTTCTACCGGTCAATGGTCTCCGTAATTTAGTACATACCTAACTCGATTCAGTGGCAGAGGGGGACACCAGAATTTAGAATCTTTGTGAATGGGTTAACCGACCAGTGACTTACCCAACCGCAAAGCATCTACTCAACTGCAAGTAAGTAGTGCCTATGCCCAGTTTCGGGCTGTGATTTTCTGGGTGGTGATAGACGTCAATTCCCTGGATCCCTGAATCACATGGCACTTGGCCCCAACGAGTTGATTACCACAGTCTCGCGTGAATCAAAGCCCGA